TAGATTGGATGCTAAAAGTAATGACTTCATTGACCTCTGTGTATATGTGGATGGCCCATGATGTAACCCTCTGAAGTCAGCCTGAACATTTCCCCATGTGACGGATCTGGCTGTGGAAGCGGCGGCGGCGAGGAATCTGCGTGCTTGTGCCTTGTTTACAGAGAGCGAGAGGCTGGAGCGCTGTAATTAGGGTCAGCCAGATGTTTTACACATTGCAGGAATTTTGTAGTCTTTTATTTGTGGATATAAATAGCTGGGCCGCGCTCGCACACATTCCTCACCACCCCGGACAGGCGGCTGCACAGAAATAGAACCTTTCCCTCCACGCTCCCTACTTTCAGTCGAATAGATAAATGCCTCTATGTCCGTGTGGAGCAATCCACAATTGTATCCATGGATGCCAACCACAAGAGCCAACCTAAGCAATGGGCCTGTACTGTGCTGGTTGGTGGTCATGGATGGAGCTCCCCCAAGAGGCCTTTTTATGGCATTTGGGAAACATATAATAAAACATGGACCTGTTGAACTTTGACTTGAGACTCATTTTTGATGCTTTCGTTAGAGGATAAAACTTATTTATAGAGATGGTGTTTTCTGGACTGTTATCAGAGACACTGGGGTTATGTGAGCCATGTGGCTCATCAACATTGGTAGATACGGTCAGCTTATGGCATTTCCCTAGCTGGCCATGCTGAGACATATAGCTCCACCAGTCCCTGAGAACTCCATGCTATCAACTCCAGGCTACCAACACTACTTTGTTTTCAGCACTCATTCAGGAAGCGTGATAGCTGCACTGCCTGTTACACAGATGGCCACTAGAGGGAGACTCCACCAATCTATATCAGGAATACAGTGATGAAGGGTCGGATCTCACTCACGTACGCAGTGATTGGCACGCCATTAATGTTTCCTCTTTCTTCAGATCCCGCCACAAGAAGAAGATTATGGCTTTGACATTGAAGAGAAGAACAAAGCCATTGTGGTGAAGTTTGTCCGGAAGGGTTCGCACGCCGAGGTGAGCACCACCCGAGCCCATGACATCCATCTGTACATGTGTGAAGGCCGCTCAGTGATGACATAGAACATGGAGGAGTTCATGTGAGGTGGTGGAAGGAGCAGAGACTGACAACACCATTCTCTCCGTCCTTCTACCCTCTCTCTCTGCATTTCTCCTCTCTCTCTGCACCCCCCTCTCTCTCTCTGCACCCCCCTCTCTCTGCACCCCCCTCTCTCTG